GTCCTAAACTAGAAAAAAAAACTACTTGCCAAAACTTAGATATAAAAAAAATGTCATTCCATTATTCACTTTATTTTCTTCCTTCATGCGTAGAGATATTTAGAAGAATTTTTGTAGGATTAATTAAAATTCTTCTAAATGTCTCATTGTTAATAATGATTATACATTGATTGGACAATTGTGTAATTTACGTAGGTGGTTTGTATTGTCCCTGTTGCTGATGTTAACACTCGTAGCCATAAGTGATAGAGAAATGGTGCCTAAAACCATGGGCAGGGTTCGATTCCCGGCGAGGACGAGACAGCAGCAACAATTTTTAATCATTAATTTGAAATTATTTGTAGTAGAAAAAAGTTAATCCAAAAAATTTAATGTATTATCCCAGTATTTTGCCCGCCTGACCTAATTTTTAGCGCAATACCGGAATATAAGACAGAAGGTCCTGTTCATACTCTCGGGAATCGTGGGAATAGTTGAGTGGTGGTTGGAGACAGAAAGATGTAACTGACGAAATTAAAATAGGAGAAAAATGAATGATTATTTACTGCCTCTGAATTTGTCCAAATTAAGAAGTTTATAGCCGTTGTTTCTACGATTGTAGGACTTTGTAGAGCAGAAAATTTCTGCATTATCCATATACTTTTATTTTACTTCCGAAGGCTTTCTTGCGTACGTGATCGTGATGTTGAATTTTAGATGGCGTTTGCAATATGTCTTCAATTTCTTATGAGGCTTGAGACCTTGCCGGTTTGCCGAGATACATATAGAATAATATTAAACGCAAGATGGCTTTTATATGTATAAGTACTTAAGCCTCCACATCAGATATTTTCCTCCTTTTGAGCAACTACATTTCATGCTTCTTATGCTATTCATCCGTCAACATTTCTGACGTACCAGTGACTGCTCGACATAGAGAGTACAAATTTCAAATTTAATATGTACAATTGTTCATTTTGTAAACGTAACTGAAGCATCAGCTGTTTAAGATTTTCACTGCAATTGTTTAACCACAAATACAATTGTAACTGCAAATTGTGAGCAAATTGAAAAAGTTGCTCGATTGTTATCCATTATGAAGCATTGCAGACAATCAAAATACAGCTCTCCCCACATGCAATGTAATGTTAATGTCTAAACGGATTAATGATATCTATTTGCTCATTCCAACTGCAGCGACTGGCATGAAAGTTGCCATAACATTTTCGCGAACGGTTAATTTAGAAATTCGAAAAAGTTTGTTAAAGATGTATGTTTGGTGCGCGGCGTTGTACGGGTGCGAAACATGGACAGTGGGCGCGGCGAAGGTTAGAAGTGTTCGAAATGTGGTGTTATAGGCGAATGTTAAGGATAACGTGGGTAGAAAAGGTTAGAAATGAAAAGGAATTAGAAAGAATATGAGAACAGAGGACTCTATGGAAGTCAATAAGAAATAGGTGAGATAGGTTGGTAGGACACCTTCTCATACATGAAGGTCTAGTCAGAGACATATTAGAGGCAGAAACAGGAGTTAGGAGGGGTAGAGGTAGAACTAGGTTAGATTACTGTTCGCAAATAGTTACGGATGTGGGTTGTTCTAGTTTTAAGGAAATGGGAAGTTTAGCTCAGAAAGAGTGGAGGTATGTGTCTAACCAGTCTTAGGACTGACGACCTTATGATGATGATGATGTAAAAATTCAAAGGGTTGCAACTGCTCACTTGCTCTCGTTAGAGAACCAAGACTGCAACGTGCTTATACGATATTTTATTCAGAGGTTGCTTTACGAATGAAATGGAAAACTTGACACCCTCAAATCAAATTAAATTTACGGAAAAGTTGAAAATAAATTAGAAAACGTATATATGACATTACGTTGTAGATTTCTGACGAAAAAATAGAGCACAAGTGAGGATAGGATTCGCGTCCTAACTCCTAACGATTCTTTACCGCCGTATTCCATTAAATTAAATATATGTAGAACATTTTTGGATACAAGTAAAATAAAACTGCGATGGTATAAAGAAATATCATCAATTTCGTGGTAATGACACTGTTTACAGTAATATCTTAAAAGGTTTATGCCAATAAATGCTTCTTTACAAATTTTTGATCATCAAAGCATTCCGTTAAAGCGCTCATCGTGTTATTCATAGATCTTTTTTACAATATCAGCTGTCCACATTTGGGATTTATACATATTTGACAACGATAAATAATTAAATTGGCTTCTTGAATATTAATTGAAAAATGTGATCCCTCGAAAGGACCTTAGTTAAATAGTAATAAGTTCAGGAAAGAAAGGTGCTCACATTTTTAATAATAAATATTATTACTTCGTATATCTGAGGAAGACACTATAAATTTCTAAATTGGAATCAAGTTACAAATTGACTTATTTTCTACTTATTATTGTTTCTATATGGTTTAGATTGTTTTAGTATTTTATTGTGTAATTATCTTTGCAACATAAAATTTTTCGAATGGATTATTGAACCACCAATTAGATTAGGTTTTCTTTTCGGGAAATCGCATTTTATGTAGGCACTTCTATCACTATCACCTTTCTTATCCAGAATAGAACCTGTACAAGATTATTTACGTGTGCTCTTGTTTTCTTTGGAAGAAGGAAGGTCAATATCAATAAAAAAAGCAATGTCTGGTATTAATCTTTTGTATTCTTCCTTATTAAGATTACTGCAAAGCGAAAATTTCAATTTTTCAATTTGTAGCATTTAAAATGTTCTTTTATCCAGTTTATTGGTTTTGGCTTTTATTATCTCTATGTCTCTCGCTTGAAGTGTTGTTTGTCTTTTCTATTTACGATTAAAGTTTAATTTGTATGACATTTAACAATCGATTTTTATTCGATTAAGCTAACGTGCCTATCACGTTGAGGTTGGCTAGGCCGGGATTCGTTTTCAGCAAGTAGATATCCACACAAGTGGACCTTGTTGGAGCATACGTAATCCTGAAATGTAGCATCGTACTACAGATGGCGTTTACCGCGCCATTTGTGGTATTTTCTAAAACGCACTGTTAAGACAGCAGGTAAAAGTTGGTCTGTGTTCTGTCGGAGCTGCCTGCGACGCGCTGATGAGATCCAAAAAGATTGAAATCGCGATCCGCGTCTGGCAGTTTCGACAGAATACAGACCATTTCGAATTATTTTAATCGATTTTAAGTTTATTTCATAATAAATGCCTCAGCAATTATTTATATAGGTAGAGTTAAGTTTATCTTAGTGGTGTTGGTAATCATCATCATCATATACGTACATAAATTAATGGTCTACGGTAACAATATTAACAGGTATTGTAATGTAATTTTGTAGATATATCTTCTCTCATGATGCATTAGGGAATCACCTACTAACTATTAAAGCGTTTAATTAAAGGATGGACCTAATAATATTCAGGGAATGTTGTCGTTTTTCTATAGAAAAAATACCAATCTTTTCACGTGTTCAGCGTGTTTTAATGTCAATTTTCGGTCGTTGTAAAATCACAGATAAAGGATGTAATAGTAGCTGGGTTAAATTATGAAATTATTAAACTAAATTAAGTCACGGGGTGGAGAAACACCATCTTTAAAATGTAACTGCTAATATGCACCACCAACAAATGCTACCATTCGCCCAAATTCGGATGGATTATACCATCATTTACAATTAAAGTTTACTGTTGGTTTTACCTAAAACAATAAAAAAATTTCTGCAATTCGGTCTCTATATTATGAAGACATACTCAGATCTACCTACAATAATAACTCATAATATAATCCTAGTACGGGTAGATAAGGCGTAGGTAGACGGTATGTAATCAGTAGGTGGGTTATTACGTAGTTCTGTGATTGCTCGTGGGATGTTATTTTATACATGAATGAAAATCCCCTGCAGACTTCGTGGTAAGCTGTTTTCGTACCAATTTACGTCTGGCTTCTGGGCCCATTCTACAATCTGAGATTTATCACGTGCTCCCGAAGGGAAACCCACCTGTACGCAAATCAAATTTTTAGACAAACGCCTCCAGTAGAAAGATTTACGTTTAGTACATTCTTTGCTAACGAAAATGGAAAAAGAAATGGAAGCGAAATAATTCAATTCGAAGGTTCGGTGGAAAAATGACAGGTTTGAATGAAAACGGGGAAAATGAAAGCGTAAATTAGTTCAATATTTTCGCGCCTACACGAACGTCACAATATTCAGAATTCTTTTTGTAATCGTAACTGATTAAAATGATAATGTCATTAATAAATTTATTTTGTGAACCTTTGAATGTTTTATGACAATTTTCCTTGATCTAGATAATCTTATTTTGAAGAATTAATTACTTTAATCTTTATATCTTTTTCGAAAAAAATGATCAAAGCGTTTAAGTCATTTCCAAAACTTTTTATCTCGAGGAAAGCCAAGTAACCCAGTAACAATAAAGAAATTATGGCGCTGTCTTGTTCATTATTGTAAACACATAAGCAACTATTTGCTTACAGGAAGCTTGAGTAAATAAGGCATTTTGCATTCCTACATGACCGCTAAAGAATATGGTGAAAATCGCTTTTGTCCAGAACCGTATTTATACAAACATGCAGAAAGGCAAAAGCAAAAACGTTTGTTTTAAATGTCTTAGGGAACCAAAAACAGGCGCCTTTGATGACTTTTTCCCTTTTGTTGACTGAAACCCAATTACAATGTACTTCAAAGTAGAAAATGGAGACTGTGGTAAAGGAATAAGTAAATAAATAAAAAGGGACTCGCCCTAGTTCCACGTGTCCGCAGTTTTGTGGTAACTACGGTTACTCTGTTTTAGTACATCCTAAGATTAAATTTCAAATCAGAGCAACCTAAACTTACCATAGCCTAATTATTTCAATCTTTTTAAATAACGATAATTTCAATAAATAAATAATGAGTAGATTACTGTTAAGTTTAGATTGCCTTAATTTGAAACTTAATATTAGAATATACTTCGGACTTTAAGAGACTTCTTAGTTAACAAGTTATACAGTCTGTTTTTTTTACTAGTGAATTGAAACCAGAAGATAAGGATCGTCGTTTGTTGGTGGAAGTATGGGATTGGGATCGGACATCCCGAAATGATTTTATGGGGTCTTTATCGTTCGGGATATCAGAAATAATTAAAGCACCCGCCGATGGTTGGTTCAAACTGTTAACACAAGAAGAAGGAGAATTCTACAATGTTCCTGTACCTGAAGAGGGAGTAGATTTAGCTCAGATGAAGATGCAGATGAGGGTAAGTAAGCTAAAAAGAAAACTGTGATCAAATGCAAGTAAGACTGAGTTCTTAGCACCTCTGAAAAACCCTGAACTCTGGACCGATCAAAATCCCAATGTTTAAACTAGAACATTGGCATAGCTACATATACGGTTTTTTGTTACAGAAAACATCTATAACCAAAAAGCCATCAGTTGCCGCAGATAAGGATGTTCCTCACAACATGGGCAAAAAAGATGTCATAAGGGCTTCCGATTTCAACTTTCTGATGGTGCTCGGAAAGGGTTCCTTTGGAAAAGTAAGTAACAGCGTTTTATTCGATAAGTACGTTTTGTATTGATACATTACAGTGAATTAATTTTTACTACAGATAACCTACAATTAACGAGGAAAAATTGATGCTGCTGTCACGCCCTGGAATCGAACCCAGGTCCTATACTTCGCGCACTACTACTTTACCACTAAGCAGCAACGACGATACGTACCCAGCTACGTAAATCACAGAATCGTCGAATCGGTTCTCGCAGCTTAAAGATAGAGAGTAAAGCCAGGGACTCGGGTTCGATTCCCGGCAAGAGCATGTCAGCAGCAACAAGTTTTTTTTCTGACTTAGCGTTAGTTAAAATCATTTTGGAAAACACGGTAATGTAGTAAGTTAAATTTGAATTAAATATTTTTCCCAACATAATTTTCTGTAAGTCCTAATGAAACTTCTTCTTACAAAAAAAAACAACGTACCTACATTTTTGGAGAGATAATAATAAACAATCATCCACCGTGTAACTTCTGGTCTGAGTTTGTTTAATTAACAGATGGCTTAACGTTCCCAAGTCACCAGCGTTCGAGTCTCTCAAAATAAATTGAAAATCGGAACGCAAATTTACTTAACAAAGAAACGTTCGCATCAAGTGGAACTTCGACCGCAGTGTTAATGGCGCAAACTTTCCATGAAACGTAAAATAAAAAAGCGCACCCTTTCAAGGAAATTAAAAACGTCCTCGGTCGTACGGTCACGACACCGCTGTTTGAATTTTATATGGACAAACTTTTGTTTTCAAACAAGAAAAAGAAACTGAACAAATTCTCATGTATGCAGTTACAAATGAAAGGTCACGTTTCTTTTGTTTTAGCAACCTTTGTCACAAAAGAATTGTTTTTCAGGAAGGTATTGAGCAAGAAAATGTTTTAATAAATATATGTCAAAAACATTACCAAAAATAGTACTTAATTATTGGAAAACAATAATTTAATTACTTTCAACTTCATTTTCTCAAAGTATAAAACATGGAAACATAACTGACACTAAACAAAGTCAATTTATTCTTCTAATTACTAATTTATGCCACCTTTTTCGCATTATGACATCTTGTAATAGAGCAATCGATCACTTACATAGATCTCATAAACTTGATAAATGTGAAAAAGTTTTAGATAATGGCTTGTTAATTTTGAGTTATGACTAAACGAATTTTCTATCAAGTAATTGAGTGCTTAAAAAATTACCCGTTTCTTACAGGTTATGCTTGCAGAAAGAAAAGGAACCGACGAATTATATGCTATAAAAATCCTCAAGAAAGATATTATCATTCAGGATGATGATGTTGAATGCACGATGGTTGAGAAGAGAGTTTTAGCGTTATCTAGTAAACCTCCGTTCCTAGTTCAGTTACATTCCTGCTTCCAAACTATGGTAAGGTCTTTTCTTAAACCTTGTACCTTTTAAAATATTGTACCTACTCTTCTTGGTTATTTCTGCCTATTACCCATTTATTTAACAAAGTTTACAATTTTGGCTATTTTAAGACAAGATAATTTAGAAGAATTATCTATCTCACTAGAAAAACTGGTCCTCTTAGTATATCGCCAATAAAAGTATTCAACACATTTGTTGATATATTCACAAAAAAATAAACCAGTCCAGACAGTTATCTTGCCTTGGAGATGGTCACACATTTAGAATGGTCGAAACGTCGTTAAATAAATGGATAATAATAAGCAGTAATGGCTCATTTATACGTAAATTGTTACAACTGCTGTCTACAAGGAATCATTATACCATTCTTTTAATAAATTTCTATTTAACTGTTGACTATACATTTCAGTATTGATTATTGAGTGGGAGGGAATTAACGATAAGGGTCATTAAAGAATTTAGCTTGTTTGACTAATATCTTTATCTTTGTTAAAAAAAAAAATAGTTTTTTATGCTCTCCTATACAGGAGATTCCAAAAATTTACTGATAGTACTTTTTTTTGCTTAACGTAAAATTTAATAACTTAGTATCCACGAAACGTGCGACAATGATCGTTGTGTTTCTATTCCAACAAAATACAGTATTCTGTTGGAACTGTCAAATGTGAATCGTATTTTCGACCTTCTTAGGTCTCGTCAGCACGTCAGACAGTCTCAACAGAATTTAGGCCAACTCTACCTGCTGCCTTTAGACAACGTTTATGAATTACTACAAAAAGCGTAAAGAACGCCATCTGCAGATTACAATTGAATTCAACAAAATGCACCAATACCCGTTTATATATTTGGATAGTCATTTTGTTAATTCAAATGTGGTTTTATTTTTGGCATTGCTTCGCGTTATTGCTAAATTTTACTTACAATTACACAAGTATCACATCATAAAATTTTTTTATTTTAATAATACTTTTAAAATATTTATAAAAGGTATAATTTTTATAATATTCGTCTCATTTCTCTGAATAATTTTTGTAATTTAGGTTAAGTATTTAATTTTTTAAACATAAAAAATGTATTAGAAATGCAACTACCCGAGGCAAGTAAACGTAATACAACGTAATGTTTACATTTTAAGACATTTCATTAATGTTAAATGCACGAAATGCAAGTCGTGTGCGGAATTCACATTTCCCGTATTAATATTCCAGGAACGATTATATTTCGTGATGGAATATGTAAATGGTGGTGACCTGATGTTCCAAATTCAGCAATGTGGAAAATTTAAAGAACCTGTTGCAGTGTAAGTCCTCTCTTGCATATGATTACCAGGTTTATTTGAAGTGCATTTGCATGATTTACTCTCACTGCCTTTCTGCTATTATTAGCAAACTTTTTCTTTTCATTTTTTAACTATAGCTACAGTAAATTCTGATTTTACATCTAATTTCATCTTATAAATGAAACATGTTCCAATTCAATTAAAACAATATTCAATTCTGAAGAACTTTATTTAATAATATGAAATATTATTCTGAAAATTAATTTTTGAATTTTCAACCCACTACAAACTACCTCAAATTAATGAGAGAAAAATTGTTGCTGTTGTCGTACCCCCGCCGTTCGATTCCCCGCTTCAAAAATGAATTTTCAGAATAATATTTCATATTAAACTAACTCACTTCTAAAAGATGTCTAAATTGTATGTTTAATCATAGTATATTCAGTATATAGATAGTTACATTAGTTCGACGGATTTGTGACTTAATAAGTACGGTTTGTCGTTGTTGCTGTTATCACCTCTCGTAGTTGAGTGGTCAGAACATTGGTGCGTAAAGCAAAGGTCCCGGGTTCGATTCCCGGCGGGGGTGTGACAACAGCAACAATTTTTCACTCATTAATTTGACGTAGCTTGTAGTGGGTTGAAAATTCAAAAATTAATTTTCAGAATAATATTTCATATTAAACTAACTCACTTCGAAAAGATGTCTAAATTGTATGTATCTATATTTATTTAATAAGCCTTACAAATGAAAGTTTCAAGTTTTACTTCTTCAGATTCGGTAGTTTCAATCTAGCACTGACGAATCTTAAAAGTGACCAACATGTATATAATATTTATAACAGCTAATGATCCCAGTGGGGTATCTTAATTTCGGTAAAAATGCTTAGGTTTTTTTTGGTCAAGCAGTCAGAGATACATAAGTACATCTAATTTTTACACTTTTTTTATAACACAGGCCAATCGACCGATAAAATAAAAACGTTCCTTTTTTGGCACGGTTTCTTTCCCCTATGTCAAAATTATTTTATTCTATCCCCATTAAAGCTCCTTACCCTATGGTCGATGAACATGATCTAGCATTGAGTAAAGAGCACACAAATTCTCAGGTTACCGGAAGAACGAGTCATTCATTCAACCATTCTATGATATTTGACAAGTATCATATGAATATTGTACGAGGGGAAGAGACCCTATTTCCTTCGAAGATGGTAACTTTTACAACTAATGTGCCAGAACTTACATAGAGTGTTCTAAAAGTCAGTGTCAGTCAGTTTCAGTGGCAGTTATTCGTGACACCACAAAAACCCTCTCTAAATAGATAAATATCACAATCTACCATGAACCACTTAAAATACATGAAGGTGTTTTAAGGCCTTCCACATTCTTCTTTTGTGTAGTAGTAGTTCCTGGAACACCCTGAATATTTAGTAGTTACATTTTCTAGATCTTCTTTATATATTTTTTAGAATTTTTATTTAGCTTTACCCATATTTCGCATCTGCTTTTTCACCATTAGGACCATACTTTTATTAGAATTCCTGAATTTTTATCACCTGCATAATATGTTTTTTTTTAACAGATTCTATGCTGCCGAAATTGCGATCGGTTTGTTCTTTTTGCACCATCGTGGTATCATTTATCGGGATTTGAAACTTGATAACGTCCTTTTAGATCAAGATGGTCACATAAAAATTGCCGATTTTGGAATGTGCAAAGAAGGAATAATGGGTGATAAGACAACTAAAACTTTTTGCGGTACACCCGACTACATTGCTCCAGAAGTAAAAATATCACAAAGAATTCTTTTAACAAGGTCATTTCAGATTTGAATTATTTTCCAGATTATTTTGTACCAACCGTATGGAAAGTCAGTAGACTGGTGGGCTTATGGTGTTCTACTGTATGAAATGCTGGTCGGTCAACCACCATTCGATGGGGAAGACGAGGAAGAACTTTTTGCTGCTATCACCGATCATAATGTTAGTTATCCGAAAGGTCTATCGAAAGAGGCTAAAGAAGTGTGCAAAGGGGTCAGTAGAATTGAATATTATTGGTGGTTTCTCATTGTCTCGTAACAACTCTTCTTTTAGTTGCTTACGAAAAATCCAAATAAGAGGCTAGGATGTGGTCCAGAGGGTGAAGAAAATATTCGGGTGCATGCATTCTTCAGGAGAATTGATTGGGAGAAAATTGAAAACAGAGAAGTTCAACCACCATTTAAACCCAAAATTGTAAGTTCCGAACTATTTTGCCTTTCTTACCCAAAAGTTGTATCCGCATTTTAACATATGGTATTTTCTTTAAGTTTTAAGCAAATTTTACTCCATGACCCCATCTGTCACATTAATTTAAATATTTTAATTTTGAAACCTGCACCTTCTGTACTACACCGTGAGTTTATATAATTTGTTACAGAAACATCGTAAAGACGTGAGCAATTTCGATAAACAATTTACATCAGAAAAGACAGATCTGACTCCAACTGACAAGTTGTTCATGATGAATCTCGATCAAACGGAATTTATGGGCTTTTCATTTCTCAACCCCGAATTCGTACAACACGTCTAATTACATAAATGTAACATTGGCAATGATATTAACATATTCGTCGAATCAGACATTCTTGCGGATTTAACATGTAATTTGTTCAACATAATCAGTATTAAATTTCGATTAGTTTAGAACCTATTACTATTACCTTACTCTTGTGCCATCGATTTGACTAAAAGATGGCGACACAAGGTCGTTTGCCACTTTGCAATCTATCTGACTTTCGAACCAAACGAGAGGGAATCTCGATTGGAAAATAGTTATTTATTCCACTGCGGGAATAATTTTGTTCAGAAAATTGGAATTTGAAATCATAAAGAACGTACTATACCTTCTTATGTACTTATCATACATATATACGGTGATCATAAAAGGAAGTACAACAGCAAGTAAGTTTTTTGTTCCTGAAGTTAGAGAATTTTAATTTTGTGCTCTAAATACGTGATAATTTTAGTGAGAATTGTACAGAAAATTCTTAGTAATTTCCAATAGTAGGTATTGATGAATCTTAAATATAAGAAATGTAGTAAAACCTTAATTTTTTTTATAGTCATCTGACTATGAAAACAATTATTGTTACTTACAAAATTTACCAGGTAATTGTGCAGAGATGATGATACCCCCTCTCTTATTAGGGGCAAAAGGGAAAAGGGGTTGAGACAGATACTAAACTAGTGTTCTTAGGTGGGGGCAGAGACATGGAAGCGCAAAAGGGCTGAGGGTGAAATTTGAAAATATTAACAGTGTTGTACTGTATGTGAGGCAACTGTTCAGCTGGAGGGAGGTAGTGAAAGGGGTAGAGATGGCCCTGTAGAACACACAAAAATTTGAAAAAGAAACTAACGTAACTTTTTGTCTTCACTTCTACCCCCACTCAAAATCATTTTTTTGTGTTCTACACACACCACAATTACCAATTTTCACCGCCACCACCTGCGGCTTTTCATCTAATGACGCAAATACACTTATTTAGTATTCGCCCCTCTTTTCCTCCCATTCTGAGACAAATCATCTGCAGAATTACCGTCTACTCGAAATGTTCACAAGATGCCATAAATCTTTAATTCTAGTATATATATTCGGGAATCGTGAGCCACCCTGTATATATTTAGGAATTTATATTTCGATGGCAATTAAAATAAATCAATTACAAAGAAAGCAAAAGCAAAACCAAAAACACAAATTTCCCACAGGTACCTATCTATGTTTGAGTGTACCCTAGTACTTTATGTTGCCAATTTTCGTATTAATTATTTTTCGATCACCGTAAACAATGTTTATATTTAATTTAATTGCAATATTGAGAAAAAAGAATTGAGGTGCTTTTATAGCTATTCCCACTCTCTTAAAAATATTAAATAAATACACATAAATAAAATTACTATACAGTTTACTTGTATTATTAGGGGCGCGCAATATTTACTGTAAAAATTAACTTGTAATTAATTCTCTTTTATTATAATTACATAAGTATTTATTCATAATTTTAACTAGATAATATTTAAGGCTACATAAACTTCCTAATGACAATCCTTCATATCATATATGCACGCTATCTAAAAAACATTCAGAGAAAAGTATAAAAGTAACACTTTTGGAAGATATTCTAAAATATTTACTTTTTTAGAATTATTCAATAAGTATTCATTACAGAAAACTGCAAGTAAAAATAGGTGATATAAATCGCTCCTACATCTGCTTACAGTAAATAAATCCCATTCTGATAGTAGGTACCTATTATACTTAAATGAATTTTTGCGCACCCCTACAGTTAATACCTTTAAAATAATTTCCAATCTCATTTAGTGTACCTACATAATATATACATGCATATGTGTATCAGTAAAGATATTTAAAAAAACATATCTTTTGACCAAAGATTCTTTACCACGACTGTTTTGAAACTTCATCCCTACGCACTACCAAAATATAGACATCATATTCCAGCATTTAACACTTCCAAAATAATTGTCTATTTCTCTTTCTATTTCTCTCCAGTAGCGTTTCCAGTTAATATTGTCGTATTCTGAAGTACGTAAATACGTAATATTTAATTGATAAATACTTTTAGGAAATTGTTGTTGCGTACTGTTCTTATTGCTCGTTCCTGGAGAGTTCTTGTGCCATATATTTAATGATATTATTATAATTATAATTGATCTTTAATATAGAATCTCGAAACGTTGAAATGTAAAAAAAGTAACACCTTGTACTTCACTCTTTTATAACATTGTCGTATACTTACGACTGCCTTAGACTTCTTGAATACAATACTTACTATTTACGCTAATGTTTAGAATATGTAATTAAAAATACTTTTCCTACTTTGAACTGTTGAATATTACTGATTGTACGTAATATTTTCAGCTGTTTCTTAACTAATAATAAAATTGATCTCTATTTATTTGTAGTGTTTCTTTTTTACAAATATTCGTACTTTATATTGCCTTTATACAAGACACGAAGAGGAGTATTTTTAGTGTTTGGAAAACAGGAAACAAGTACGTAACTGAAAGTGTTTATTAAACCCAACAAAATGCGTTTTAAATTTCAAAAAATTACAATATTACAACACCATAATATTAAGGTACAAACACTGGCATAAATCAGGTGAGGTAAGTTACGAACAATTGAAATACAATTTTAAGCAGTAGATGGCCGTTAAGAAAACGAAATAATTATAACAGTAATTAATAATCATCCATTTTCTAAATCACGTCCGTCTTATTGGGCCGCCAAATACTGTCTGATGGCATCGGTGTCACGGGCCAACCAGGCACTGTTCAAACGGATTGTTTCCACTGCCTGTTGGACGGATCTTTCAGTACCTGGACACTTGTGCTCCTTGAAGAAGTTGTCGACTTCTTGTGCTTTCTCTTCGGTCACAAAATTCTCGGTGGTGAACTTAACGAGACGGGCAAGCAAGAAACCGCCCTGGTAACGATCGACTAGGACCTTCCAGTTGTCTTTAAAGAACTGCCAGGCCAAATCACGACCTTTTACGGTCATAGAAACGGACATTATAACGAACACGGTGTCTTGAGAACGAACTTCTTCCTAAAAATTAAATAGCACGTTACCTAAGTAATTTTGAACATATTTAACTGTTAGTTTACGCGATTAAAAAGATAACTTACAGACATGGCGAATTCCAGGACCTTAGCTAACAATTTTTCGTCTTTGGTTGCCCCCAACGCCCTACTAATTCTGTCCTTTTCCTCGTGAAGATCAGAACTTCGAAACAGCTTCAACATTTGCTCATACGTTTCTTCATTGCCTGAATACACAGAATAAAGAACATTATTCCATATAAATGTACGGATAACATGTATTCATACCATTTCGAAGTACAGTTTTGTAACAGGCGCTCCTCAGATCTGCAGGTATACAAGAATCGTTTGCGATGTGCTTGGCAAATCGCGACTTAGCTTCCTTGATCGTATTTTCATCATCTAACCATGCCATTCTACCCAGAACCAAGCCTCTCAGAAGAGTATCCAGATGTTTCTCATTCTCAGAAGCATCCCAGCCCAATCGTGCCAACACTTTACGAAGAAGTTTTTTTTCGTACTATAATTTTGCGATTTGATTTTAGTCAACGAAAAAGGGGTTATACATATGTATGTAATATTTAAATTATAATCAAAAGAATAAATAAATTGTTTTACCTTTTTGAAATCATCTAAATAGTCGGTATAGGAGAGCAACATAGATAACTTTGCAAGACAGTTACCAATAGATGACCAGACCGTGTAATCCGTTTCATCCTCGAATGCTTCCATTAACTTCAGCACCTCCACCGTGTTCGTATGTCCAGCTTGAACCATAGCGGAAAGATCGTCCAAGAGCCCCAATCTGTCTAAAGGGGGCAACACCCTGCTTTTGATGGCCGGCACCAATTTCGCTAACATTTCTGGTGGATATTGGGTACGATAAAATCCGACGGTACCCGGATTCACTTTGATCCAATCCTCAGAACCAGCATTTGGGATGACCATTTCCCCTTGCTCGGTCTTAAGTACTGTTGTTGCGGTCGCCTTTTCTGGATCACGAGATGTCGACACAGAGATTGGTATCATCCAGAGGTATTTCTCCTTGGGTGGGACACCATCCGCACAGAATTTGCTTTGGGAGAGACTCAAGATGGTACTTTGACCGTCGTTTGCTAATTTACTGGTAACTTTCACGGTTGGGAATCCCATCTGCTTAGTCCATGTCGACATCACTGCTCCCACCTTTTTCAGAAAACAAAAATTAAAAAACGTAAACAAATTTATATTGCAATCATTCATACTGGTTTTTTACTGGCTTCTTCAAGGGCCGCCCACAAATCTTCGGTTAAAGTATTTTTATATTGGTGTTTTGTTAAGTACAGATTCATTCCCCTCCGGAAATCTTCATCGCCAATGTAATGGTGCAACATACGTATCACCGACGCTCCTTTATTATAACTAATATCGTCGAATATTTCGTCAATTTCGGAAGGATGACCGACAGGTACTTCTATTGGATGCGAATTCTTCAAACAATCCAATTCTAACGCACGACTGTAAATATCGTTGACGAACTGCGTCCAAATATCGTATTCAGGGAACAGATGGTGAACGCACAAAAACTCCACAAAAGACGCATAACCTTTTAAAATACATAAAAACTAATATTAATATTGATACAACAAATAATTAATTGCATTATTAACCTTCGTTGAGCCAAAGATGCGTCCACCACTCCATGGTAACCAAATTTCCGAACCACTGATGAGCAAGTTCATGCCCAACGACTAGTGCAATCCATTGTTTCCGAACTGCTGACGTATTTTTTGGATCGACAAGAAGACATGTCTCTCGATAAGTAACTAGGCCCCAGTTTTCCATAGCTCCCGGGCTAAAGTCAGCTATAGCAATTAAGTCGATCTTTGGTAACGGGTACGCGATGTTGAAGTACTCTTTGTAGTATGGTAACACTTTGGTGGCCACCTCCAAGGCAAAGAGACCCTGTTCTTTTTTACCCTGAGGAGTGTACACTCGCACTTTGACTCCATCGGAGGACGTATCCTCCACGTGATCGTACTCGCCCACGACCACAGCTACTAAGTACGTAGACATTACAGGGGTTGTTTCGAAATCGTAACGAACCAGATTGCTAATCTGAGTGGTTTTTTTAACTGGCATGTTTGAGAGGGCGACTAGTTTCGCAGGTACGAGGAGACTGATGTCAAAAGTGGCTTTGAGAGCAGGTTCATCCCAACAAGGGAAACAACGACGTGCATCCGTTGGCTCGAACTGTGTTACGGCCGCGTAAGTTTTTTCGCCTTTTTCATTTTGATATTGACTTCTATATAACCCTTCAAAAATGAAAAGACGATTCGTAAATAAAACAATCTCTGTAAACTTCATACAGTTACTTAATATTCAACAAAACTTTTTAAAAGTTAAAGATAAAACTAGGAACAATTACAATGAATAAACTCTTTTAGAAAAGACCTAATTCAGAAAAAAAAGTAAGAAATTGGTACAAAATGGGGGAATAAAGAAAAACTGTAAAGATAGAGACAAGACGAAAAAAGAAAAAGTAAAAAAGGGCAAAAGTGACATGCTATTTGGTTAATTCTGAAAGTTTTTATCTTTTTATTTTTGGGCTTACAATTTATGATAAGTAATGAAAAATACAGTGGTGCTAATAAAATAAAATGTACATATGAGCTTATTAAACTTGTTTCTCATTGTTTCATTAAATAAATACCCTTTTAGTAAGTAACAATAAAACCACACTTATCTGCACTTCTAGTGTAAATACTCTCTCTCAATATTAATTATGAACCTAATCAAAGAAAATGTAATTTTTAAGGATAAATTGGTTACAAATATTTGTCAAGAATGTAACTTTTTACTAAGTACCACTTTCTTTGGCTTTAAATGCACAAATAATGCAACGGCTTCCAAAGAAAATAAAATTTAGGTATATACATCTACCTATTATTTATTAAATACACTGCCTATTTTTATGTCATAATCAAAATGATAAAAAAGTTATTTGTATTATTATGAATAGTTCGTCATACAGTAAAATTAATTAAAATAGTCCCATATGTGATATTGCCATTATGTATTCACCAGAATTTTTACTTTTCTACTATTTATTTAGTAAAAGCTGTAAATTAATTACCTTTCATTTTATCATTAATTTCGCCAGTAAATTTGGCCGATAAGTTGTAACTGCCTGCAGGAACAAGATCTGAAAAGACAACGGTTGCAGTTTCTTCCTCTGCCGACTTATTGATTTGAAGAGGTGCTGATTTAAAGCCATTTGAATTATCCAAAAATACTGAATCAAAATTCAAATCCAATGCATTCAATACAATGGTTTTTGTTGGTTCTTTCACCTGCAAATAAAAATTTATGATCTATTTTGAATATCTCCACATAGATACTTCATGGCTACTCATGTTCTATTTTTACTCAATAGTTGACACATCACAAAATGCACGATAATTACATGATTAAGCAGTTTTTTGAAAAAAGTTTAAAGAGTTTTCTACAAATACAGCATACAATACCACGCTAAAACTCGACTATTAGCAATTAATGTTGATTAAAAATCTAACCTCATTGCATTACTACATCAATACTGACATATGTTACACTTACTTCAATTTGTATTGTTACATCCCCATCGAATTTAAATGTTTTTAAATTCGGAGTTAAAGTTAAACTGTAATGTTTGGGAACAACCGTTGTAGGAAGACGTTCAAACGGCTTTACCTCCGGCATCTCAACTGTTTCTTTTACTGTTGAACCGGTATGAAATTTACGTGTTTCGGTGTCGTACGGTATATGGGGTGGAGTATAACGGCCCACTAACACACCTATAGTACGAACAAGTGCGATATCACGATTTATTATTGTCAAGTATCGGTAAGTAAAACGGCTTTTCTGTGGCGGTGTTAGCAATGGAGATTGCAGATAACGCTGATTTTTAAACGCGTACTGATAACGCTGATGCAAGCAACGTTTTAAATTAATATTACCACGATTCCCAACTATTTTCTCTAAAATTATTAACCTACTGGTGGCAAACATTTATAAGTGTATATGTATAATGTAACATTGGAATAAATTAAAAACCAAATGTTTTATCCACGCTAACTTTTTAAATTTTCATGTCACACACGTAGGATCCAGAGGTATTTCTCTTTGGGTGGGACACCATNACTTTTTAAATTTTCATGTCACACACGTAGGTACACTGTAGTATAACCAATCAAATCATTATGCGACTTATGAATCAAGCATGTGGATGTTGAACGGTATGTTGATTTTATTTATGATTGTTTTAAAAAAAGAAGTATAGGCAACACAACTGGCATTGGTGCCAAAAATACAGTTCTGTTATAATTTCAGCAAGGGCCATCGGTGCCATTTACCACTTTAATCAATATTAATATTAAATAATCTTTGTAGATAATATTGCTACCACATTTTGTAGACAATCCTGATTTCGATCGAAAATAAGATTAAAGACTGAATATTTTGTGTTAGAAATTGATTTAATGGACTTACTTTTAGCTTCGGAATAAAAGAACCTTTTTTAACATCATGTCTGGTAAAACTTCGAAGAGAAAATCTTCCAGCAATGCGAACAGCAGTAACAAGAAAGTAAAAACTGAAAACCAAACTGACAAAAAAGGGCATTGGGCTTTTGGTTTACTTTCAGCAGTGAATGATCCTAAACTATTAATTACCGAAGACGATAAAATCACGATTATTAAAGACAAATATCCTAAAGCCGAAGTCCATTATCTAGTTTTGCCTAAAGAAGACATTAAAAGTCTTAAAGCTGTACAAAAGGAACATACAAGCTTACTAAAACACATGGAAAAAGTTGGTGAACGAATTTTTAAGGAGAAACATCCTGGAATGTCATTCAAAATGGGATACCACAGCGAACCAAGCATGACACGATTGCATTTACATGTTATAAGTGATGATATGAAATCCGATTGCTTAAAAACCAAAAAGCATTGGAATAGTTTTAACACCGATTTCTTTTTGAATTCGACACGTAAGGATTTTTATTATTCTTTTTTTCTATAACCTATCACCTTCTAATATTGAAGTATCTAATAGCTAATTGAATTAATTATTATTATTTAGAAGTTCGTGAGCAACTTGAATCACTCGGAAAAATAATTATACCTTCAGCCGAAAAATGTAAAGAATGGATGAGTAAACCCCTTAAATGCCACAAATGTGATTTTTTCCCCTTAAACATGCCCGATTTGAAGAGGCATCTTAGTGATAAACATTAAATTTATTTGTTTTAATGCACTGTAATAATATTGTCGTAATTTTTGTCAGATGAATAGATTTATAGAAAGAGCTTTTTCATTATGTATTCCAAATTTTTGATATGAATTTTCAGAACCCAATGGAGTCGCGAGAGCCCTGGTTAGTAAGCATTGGTTGACAAATATGTCTATGTGAAAAGTAACAATCATCTTTGGATTTTGCGAAAACTACCTTTACCTTTAACTCCTGTTTCTGTTCCCAGCCTTTAATATGCCTAACAAGACCTTAGAAGGTGTCCTACCAACCTATCCCGCCTATTTCTTGTTGACTTAGAAAATACCCTTCGTACTATTTTGTTTATCTATCAATTAAAATAATTGAGATTAAGACCCCCATTTAAAACAATTCAGCCCATTTTTTGTTCCAGAGGTATTACCATTCCTTTGGGTTCTGAATTATTACATAGGTACCTTAGGCAACCTAAGCCGGTTCTGTCTATTAGAAAGGAAATATTGCATAGTACTATTTTCATATTTAGATCCATCTACACAAATGAAACAATTTATTTTATTTTTAACATATAGTTCTCATTGTATTTATAACAAACTGATAAAAATTACTTTTTTGGACTAAAATACTACCAAAAGTTTTTGTGAAAAGAAACACCTTTTCCATAAACAGCAACAAACCAAAACAACACTATTGAAAAGAAAATGCTTAAGAAATTTATATTCAGTTAAAAAATTAACAAATATGCAGTTTGTACATTTTTATCTAAACTAACTGAAGCCGACCCTGTTCGAATGTTCGTTTAATTTCGGAAGTCTTTAATTTTTCATCCTTTTCAGTTCCATTCGTTTTCCTATTTGGTATTCGGTTGACGCGGTGTTTGTGCTCGGCAGCTCAAAACACAAAAAGTGCGAAAAATACTTTTTGTTATAAGTTTAAAGTTAATAAGACAATAATAAGTTATATTATCGTATAAGTGCAGTGCAGAAATATGGCTATGCAACCGCACAGTAAAAAACGAGTTTGCTATTATTATGATAGTAAGTACAGCAAATTATCTTTTAATTCTCTGCCTTTATTTGTTATTGTTTCCTCGAATGGGAATTACAATTTTTAATGCTTATAACGTTATATTTTGTACAAATAAAAATATTTGATGATTTTAACCTATAAGAGTTCAATGTACTGTTTGGTTAATTTTAACGCGAGATGTACAACGACTGACTTTGTACCATAGTTTTATCTTCATGATGATTGGTTAGCCAATTTGGCGGCGTCACGTACCTCAGACTTTCGACGGTACTTTGATTCGGTAATAAGTCGATTGAAGTTTTTTCATGTTATCTTCTTAAAAACGATACTTTTTACAGAATGATAATACTTTTATTTTGAAACTTAGGTGATATTGGAAATTATTACTACGGACAAGGCCATCCAATGAAACCACATCGCATACGAATGACTCACAATTTACTTTTAAATTATGGACTTTACAGGAAAATGGAAATTTATGTAAGTTTTGAAATCTGAAAAAAAAATGTACCTATAATAAATAAAATATTTTCTGCAGCGTCCACATAAAGCCACAGCTGAAGAAATGACTAAATTTCATTCAGACGACTATATCAGATTTTTACGTTCTATACGTCCAGACAACATGTCCGAATACAACAAGCAAATGCAAAGGTTTAATGTTGGAGAAGATTGTCCAGTTTTTGATGGCCTTTACGAATTTTGTCAGTTATCAGCAGGCGGTTCTGTTGCGGCTGCAGTTAAATTGAACAAGCAAGCCTCAGATATTTGTATCAACTGGGGTGGAGGCTTGCATCATGCAAAGAAATCAGAAGCCTCTGGTTTTTGTTATGTAAATGATATTGTTCTTGGTATTCTCGAACTTTTACGGTATATGGGGTGGAGTATAACGGCCCACTAACACACCTATAGTACGAACAAGTGCGATATCACGATTTATTATTGTCAAGTATCGGTAAGTAAAACGGCTTTTCTGTGGCGGTGTTAGCAATGGAGATTGCAGATAACGCTGATTTTTAAACGCGTACTGATAACGCTGATGCAAGCAACGTTTTAAATTAATATTACCACGATTCCCAACTATTTTCTCTAAAATTATTAACCTACTGGTGGCAAACATTTATAAGTGTATATGTATAATGTAACATTGGAATAAATTAAAAACCAAATGTTTTATCCACGCTAACTTTTTAAATTTTCATGTCACACACGTAGGTACACTGTAGTATAACCAATCAAATCATTATGCGACTTATGAATCAAGCATGTGGATGTTGAACGGTATGTTGATTTTATTTATGATTGTTTTAAAAAAAGAAGTATAGGCAACACAACTGGCATTGGTGCCAAAAATACAGTTCTGTTATAATTTCAGCAAGGGCCATCGGTGCCATTTACCACTTTAATCAATATTAATATTAAATAATCTTTGTAGATAATATTGCTACCACATTTTGTAGACAATCCTGATTTCGATCGAAAATAAGATTAAAGACTGAATATTTTGTGTTAGAAATTGATTTAATGGACTTACTTTTAGCTTCGGAATAAAAAAACCTTTTTTAACATCATGTCTGGTAAAACTTCGAAGAGAAAATCTTCCAGCAATGCGAACAGCAGTAACAAGAAAGTAAAAACTGAAAACCAAACTGACAAAAAAGGGCATTGGGCTTTTGGTTTACTTTCAGCAGTGAATGATCCTAAACTATTAATTACCGAAGACGATAAAATCACGATTATTAAAGACAAATATCCTAAAGCCGAAGTCCATTATCTAGTTTTGCCTAAAGAAGACATTAAAAGTCTTAAAGCTGTACAAAAGGAACATACAAGCTTACTAAAACACATGGAAAAAGTTGGTGAACAAATTTTTAAGGAGAAACATCCTGGAATGTCATTCAAAATGGGATACCACAGCGAACCAAGCATGACA